AGCAATACAGATCCCAGTGATTGTTATACTATCATAGTTTAAAAAAAAAACCCAAACACTAAAACATGGATTCTACATTACGGACCTTTAGCTAAGAACACCAAGGATACTCTGAGGAGCACAGGAGAATTCCTGGTTGAATGGTCACAGCTGTGGTAGATTAAGCAAGCCAATATATCTGCAGAACCACGGGACCTGCATCATGGTTGATGTATAGACTTGATGTGCAGATTCAGCTTATTGTCGCGTGCAACTGAAACTGGTATCCCCATTCAACCAGTCTGTGTACGATTCTGCTGTTTGCGCTGACTCTATGTGTGCTGTGGACCTGATAACTGATCCAGGAGGTCAAGTCTCTGGATGCGCTGTGTCTGATGTAAGAAACTGTTTCGTGTTCCAAGAGAATTCCCAGTCTGTGCCTACAGCGATCCAGCTGAAGAGAACAATACGTCTGTACCATATGCTCATGGACCGCCCAGCAAGGAGCTCAGGACTCCTGTCAGAATATACACATGGTAACAATACCATTACACTAAGTCTGTCATAGCATACTTACATCACTATACAGCTACTACTTACTACTAATCTAAACTGACCTACTAACTATCTACTAGATACAGTAGTCTCCTCCTACTACACTTACTAGACAGCTACTACACTACTACTCACTGCTATACTTTTACATAACAGCTGCTTAAGCTTTACTAACTATCTACTACTACTACTTACTAAACATAACTACTATTACTACTAGCATACTTGCATTGGCTCGTCAACCTATACTAGCGGAGCGCGAGTACAACTACTAGGCGGCTACTAACACACCTTAACAACTCACTATGTCTCGGCGAACTACACAGCTCGTCCACGCTGTTCACGCCTCATGTACAGGGATACTACTACATACTGAGGCACATGTACACAGGTAAAAAGTATACTCTATTTCAGCTTTATTATATATATAAGCTAAGTCCTTGCGCGCTCACTCGCGCTAACATACACTACTACTAGCGAGACACTACAGGCCTGCTAATTACTACATGCCTCTCCTACTATTACTTACAAGACTTAACTACCACAAGAGACACTAGGCAACAGACTAAGAACTAACACGCTTACTACTACGACATCTACTAAAGTCCACACACTACTAGCGGCCTACACTACAGCTAAACTAGCTGAGACTACCCACGACTCGATGACTACTACTACAGGCCTATTGACTACTTCCCGAGCACTAAAGCTTGCTACCCACTGTACTACTAGCTACTGACAGCTGAGCCCTTAGCTACTATCGACCACTACTACTGCACTACTTACTACTACTGCTACTAAGCTAGTCCCCTACTACTACTGGCTTACTCCCTACTTCTTGAGAGCTACAGGCTAGTTCTTCGGCCTGGCTACCAGACACTACTACTACTACTGCCTGCCACTCACAGCTCCTCCTTTCTTTCACAACATAAGACTACTACTACTACTACTGCACATGTACACAGGTAAAATACTACTACTGCTACTACTACTATTACTACAGCTAGTCCTACTGCTACTGTACATGTACACAGATAAAATACTACTACTGAACTGTACTGAGGAAAACCTCAGAAATAAAATACTAAAAACAGTAAAAGCAGACAGTCTGAGCACTGGAAGGCGGTCGAACCGTAACAGGGTCCCAGGTTTGTGTTTAAAGGTTAGAAAAAGATTAAATTCTTTTTTTAGGCAACACAGATTAATTTAATAATTTACAAAACATCCATTTATTAATCTGTACTTGTTCCTCTGATCATCATTTCAGTAAGAAATATCAGTGAGGAGCTGTAATGAGTTAGTTTGTCCACCAGGTGGAGCTGTGGTCCCTCACATAGCTGAACATCTACACTGAACTCACAGAGGATGTCAAAGGTCACATACAAGGGATATCACCACCACCAAAACTACTACTTCTATTACTACTACCAGTGTTACTACCAGTAT